CCGCGGTGTGGGGCATATCGGGGTATGTCGGAGCGCCGCGGTGTGGGACACTAACTGCGTTTGTGTCCCTGTTATACAGCCCCTCAGTGGATAGCCACTCTGAATATTGGTCGAGGTGGGGCACACGTGAGCTACTACCACAGGGCGAACGATCAGGTGAGTGTTCTCTCAGACCTGTTTGCTGTGCTCAGGGCAGGCTGTCCCCCTTCAGCTGAGGGAAGCCAGACTGGCCGGTGAAAGAGAGCACTTTGCAATTAGTGAAAATGTGATTCCAGCAGAGGCAGGAAGATATTTTTCTGGGGGGAGGAGACAAAGGCACAGATAGGCTGATGTTTAAGTACTGGCTGTTTAAGTACTGGCCTCTCTATGTAAACTAATCGAACACAAGGGGTGTCGAAATGCTGATTAATTTCCACAGGGCTGTCAGTGCAGACCCTGGGGAGGAGCTTTGCACAGTACAGAGGCTAAGTATCAGCCTCTGGGTGTGCAGTGTCGAGTTAGCAGAATGGACTGTGTTCCCCGGGATTTAGATGGTCATGTGGATGATCCGATGGAAGTTTGAGCTGTCACAGATTGAAGATACTTCAGGACTGTATCCCGCAAAAAGCAATTGGGTCAATCAAGTTTCCCAATGTCCATTAAGCAGTCGGGGGGTGTTGGAGGTTGGCGGTGATGGGGCGAAGGTGGGTTAGTGGGGTTTGCCCATGGATCAGCTCTGATCTCGATGAGGTTGCTGTATGGGTTCCTCCTCCAGTGCTGGGTGTCATCTTTTTCTGTCCCTGTGTTACACTAAGACTTGTTTTTCAGACTGGAGGCCTGTGACCAGCAGTGTGCCACAGGGATCAGTGCTGGGGTCATTTCTGATTGTCATTTATATAAATGGTTGGATGAGAATACAGGAGGCATGGTTAGTAAGTTTGCAGGGGACACCAACATTGCTGGTATAGTGGATGGCGAAGAAGTTTATCTAAGATTACAAAGAGATCTTGATCAGTTGGGCCGGTGGACTGAGGAGCGGCAGATGGAATTTAATTTGGATAAATACGAGATATTCCATTTTGGAAAAACAATCAACAGCAAGACTTATACAATTAATGGTAGGGCCCTGGGTAGTGCTGTAGAACAGAGAGACCTAGGGGGTTCAGGTACATAATTCTTTGAAGTTTGCGTCACATGTAGACAGGGTGGTTAAGAAGGTGTTTAGCACGCTTGCCTTCATTGCTCAGACCTTTGAGTGTAGGAGTTGGGGCGTCATGTTGAGGTTGTACATGACATTGGTGAAGCCTCTTCTGAAATACTGTGCCCGGTTCTGGTTGCCCAGTTACAGGAAGGATATTATTAAGCTGGAGAGGGTTCAGAAGGGATTTACCAGGATGTTGCTGGGAACGGAAGGTTTGAGTTATAAGGAGAGGATTGGTAGGCTGGGACTTTTCTTCCTGGCGTGTAGGAGGTTGAGAGGTGACCTTATAAGAGTTCTATATAATCATGAGGGGTATAGAATGACAGGTGTGTTTTCCCCAGGGTGGAGGATTTCAAGACTCGAGGGCATATTTTTAAGGTGAGAGGAGAAAGATTGAAAAAAGACATGGGGGGGGGCAAATTTTTTTACACAGAGGATGGTTTGTGTGTGGAATGAACTTCCAGAGGAAGTGATGGATGTGGGTACAGTTACAACATTTAAAAGACATTTGGATAAGTACATGAACAGGAAAGGTTTGGAAGGATATGGGATAAATGCTGACAGCTGGGACTAGTTTAGTTTGGGGATTATGGTCGACATAGACTGGACTGGTTGGACCGAAGGGCCTGTTTCCATGCTGTATGATTCTATAACTCTAATTTCATGAATAGGAAATGTTTGAAGGGATAGGGGCCAGGAGCAGGCAGGTGGGACTAGTTTAGTTTGGGAGCGTGGACTGGTTGGACCGAAAGGTCTTGTCCCTGTGTGATATGACTCTCCGATACTGACCAAAGACCCTCCTCCCCCGCAGGTCCAGGTGGGCGTGGAGTTCGAGGCGAGCTCTCAGACCCAAGAGACGGTCTTCTCGTTTGGATACCAGCTCGACCTCTCGGAGGCAAACATGGTGTTCCGAGGTGAGGCCGCAGCTTCCAGCTCCCGAGAGGAGAGGATGTGAGGAAAGTCGACAGGGAATATCTGGGACTGAGCGAGGGAGTGCTGAGGGCGCAGAGAGATCCAGTCAGTGCTTAACACAAGAGTAGGTGGTGAAGGGTCACACGGTTTAGGGGGAGATGGCTCGTACAGTCTGGGGCTGGGGGGGTGGTGAGAAGGTGGGGGTGTGTTTAGTTGACTGAGCAAGTGCTGTCTCAATAGCAGGAGGGTACGGGCAGGGGATGGAGGGAGGGGGTGGGGGTGGCGGTGGCGTTCCAGGGTGAACCTCTTACGCTGATGTCTCTCCTCCGTCCCGCAGGCTCCTTGGACAGCAACTGGGTGGTTGGGGGCGTCCTGGAGAAGAAACTCGCCCCTTTACCCCTGACCTTTGCCCTGGGCGCCTTCATGGACCACATGAAGGGCAAGTTCCAATATGGCTTCAGTGTCACAGTCTGTTGAGTGTAGCCACAAGACACGGTGTCACGGTGATCTGGAGCCAAGGATGAGGCGGTTACTCCTGGGATTGCGGTGGGGTGGAGGTGTGGGAGGGTATGGGGGGGTGGGGGGTAGGGGGGTATACCCAGACGCGGGTGCTAGGGCCAGCAGGGGATTATTTGTTTCCGCGTTCCGCTGCTTCCGCGCCATCTCGCATTGGCACGTGGCCCCCTGCAAGCAGAGGGGGGATTTCACAGAGGGATGTATTGGAAATCGGGAAGGAATGCCGACAATCTCACAGGAATCGAGCAGGACACAACACGTCAGAAATCGATAAGAGCAGAGAGAGAAGGGGGTGGGGGGTGTGATGTGTGGGAACTGGTTACGGTGATAGACAGTCAGGAGGGTCACGGGAGGTCAGAGAAACAGGGATGCAGCGGAAAACACCACAGATGAATTTGAAGAAGAGTTGCGGTGATGTTTTGAGATGGTGCTGGATTGTTTTGGGAGTGCGTCATGGCAAAGAGGAGATTTCAGTTCCCGTCCATTCACCCATTCCTAAAGAAGGGATCTGGTAAGATTATTGATAGTGAACAGAGTTGGCAGCAATCCCCCACCAGCCTCTATCCCACAATCTCTAATCAACATGGGATACTCCTATCCAATAGAAACTCACATCAGAGTCACAGCTTTCCCTCAGCGCTGACCCTCCGACAGTGCGGCGCTCCCTCAGCGCTGACCCTCCGACAGTGCGGCGCTCCCTCAGCGCTGACCCTCCGACAGTGCGGCGCTCCCTCAGCGCTGAACCCCCGACAGTGTGGCGCTCCCTCAGCACTGTGTGGCCAGGATTATGCAAATCTCTGGAGCAGGACTTGATACCACTGTGTTCTGACCAAGATTCACCCTATCTGACCATGGCCATTCTTCTCTGTCTCTCCTATCGTGTAACAGAATGTAACATTCAAATCTCTCTGAGATCAGAACTGTGCACAGTGTTCCAAGTGTGGGTCGAACTGAGGCTGAAATTATCAGGGTTAGATCATGTAACCTTGTAGTGTATCGCATTAAATGTTGACAATTATGTAGTGGTCTAATCAGGAACTATAAGATGGTTTAAGGATCAAATTGTGTAATTGGAGAGAAACAGTTCTTTCTGGTTTGGTGTGTCTGAAAAAAGAAGCTGAACCTTAAAAGTCAGTGTGGGTTGTTCAGGGGAGATCTCAGGAAACTGTTCGTCGGTTCTCCACGTGAACAACCATGGTCGTCACTATTGAAGATCAATCATCTCAGCTCCAAGACATCTCTTCAGGAGTTCCTCAGGGTAGTGTCCTCAGCCCAACCATCTTCAGCTGCTTCATCAATGCCCTTCCCTCCATCATAAGGTCAGAAGTGGGGATATTCGCCGATGATTGCACAATGTTCAGCACCATTCGTGACTCCTCAGATACTGAAGCAGTCCATGTTCGCATGCAACAAGATCTGGACAATATCCAGGCTTGGGATGACAAGTGGCAAGTGACCTTCGTGCCACACAAATGCCAGGCTATTACCATCGCCAATACGAGACAATTTAACCACCGCCCCTTGACATTCAATGGTGTTACCATCACTGAATCCCCCACTATCAACATCCTGGGGGTTACCATTGACCAGAAACTCAACTGGACTCACCACATAAACACAGCAGCTACAAAAACAGGCCAGAAGCTGGGAATCCTGCAGCGAGTAACTCCCCTCCTGACTCTCCCAAAGCCTGTCCCACCATCTACAAGGCACAAGTCAGGAGTGTGATGGAATACTCCCCACTTGCCCCTGGATGGGGGCAGCTCCAACAACACTCAAGAAGCTTGACACCATCCAGGACAAAGCAGCCCCCGCTTGATTGGCACCACATCCTCAAACATATCACTCCCTCCCCCACCGACGCTCAGTAGCAGCAGTGTGTACCATCTACAAGATGCTCTGCAGAAATTCACCAAAGATCCTCAGACAGCACCTTCCAAACCCGCGGCCACTTCCACCCAGAAGGACAAGGGCAGCAGATACATGGGACTCCCACCCCCTGCAAGTTCCCCTCCGAGCCACTCACCATCCTGACTTGGAAATATATCGCCGTTGCTTCAGTGTCGCTGGGTCAAAATCCTGGAAATCTTTCAACAAAAAAGAAAACTGGGGTGCATCAGAAACTCGCCTCTCTACAAAAATCTGGGAAATGTTCACAACACAAAACCATGGCATTTGGCCCATCTACTCCATGTAAGCCTCCTCACACCCTCTCTCTTTACATCAACTGCATCCGTGACTCATCGGAAATCCTTTCTTCCTTCTGCAATTATCTGTTGACCACTCCGTGTTGGAATATAGTCCACATTCTCCCGCTCTCTGGAAGATGGTTTTTATTTTGCTGAATGTCCGAATAGATTTGTCAGTGACTGCCTTGTGCTGAGAGCCCCTTGGTTCTGTACACTGTACCAAGGTACGTGGTGATCAGAGCTTGATACAGGGCTCCAAGTGTGGGACTAACTGAGGGATAGGGGGACCAGAACTGCGCACGGTGCTCCAAGTGTGATGTAAGGAATGGTGTACATCATTTTGTAGTCTCCCTTTGTGAAATGCACCCTGCACTTGATCTTTGAAGCATTTATTGCAGTGTTGATATCCGGTAACTGGCTGCAGATCTCTGAGACTGATGCTGGGATTTACAACCTATCGAGTGCTCTGTTGTCCCGCACTCACAGAGCCTGAGGTACGTTAGCTTGTGTAGGGGGGTCCAGGTCACTGTCCCCTGTCCACTCCTAATTAAAATGATCACCAGTTAGTTTGGATTGGAGCACGGGAGAGGGAGAGGGAAAATCTTTTTCCTCCTGGATAGGATCTTTGACCATGAAGCCCTCTCCCTCTCCCTCTCCCTCTCCTCCCTCTCCCTCTCCTCCCTCCTGTCTCTCCTCCCTCTTCCTCCCCCTCTCCCTCTTCCTCCCCCTCTCCCTCTTCCTCCCCCTCTCCCTCTCCTCCCCGTCTCCCTCTCCCTCTCCCTCTCCTCCCCCTCTCCCTTTCCTCTGCCTCTCCCTCAGGGACCCTGTTGAAAGAGGCCCTCTCTCAACAAGGATGTTAGAGAGGGAGGAGAGGGAGAGACGCCCTCTTTCAACAGGGTCCCTGAGGGAAAGTGAGATTTGCTGAAATTATGTGAAGGGTCAACACTATCTGATTATATCTCTCAGTTAATTGGATACATGTATATAAGGAAATGAATAAAATATTGAAATCCTCTAACATATCAATAAGCATGTGTCTGTTTGATTCTGTGACTGTCATTGTTGATATAAATCTAACTGTGCACTGTCTCTGTTTACATCAACTTTGGTCTGTCCAGCAACACTAGCTTGTCAATATTTTTATCCCTGTTTACAAATCCCTCTGATGCCCTCAATGCTTCCTCATGCAGCTGCACCCCACTCATCTCTCAAGCCATGCCCAGCGTATGCTCTCCTCCTCGGCTCTGCCACCTACCCCAGCACCAATAACCCTCTTCATCTCAGTGATGTGTCTGAGCACATCGTGTGTCTGTAACATGATGTTACAGAGATAGGGAGGGGTGTATAGGGGCTGGAGGAGGTTACAGA